AACTCTCTTCTATCAGGTTCACCAAAACACTTCTTAGAAAATTTTGAAAAATGTTCAAAACTCAGCTGCTAGGCTAGTTCTAAAGGACCCCCCCCCCCAAAAAAAAAACAAACAAAAAACCAACAACAAAAAACGTGATCACTGATCTAACAAACAGTATGTTAAGAAAACGATACCAAACTTAGAGATACCCGTACTAAAATTTAATGAAACTACATACCGGTACCGGTAAAAAAATTTATACTATACCGGTATTATTCTATACAAATAAAAATTTGCAATCTATTTTTTGTACCGGTACTCAGTGGCGTAGCTAGGGGGGTGCGGCCCGAACCGGGTGAGCGACACCATCTCAGGGGTGACAGCCAAATGAAAAATTGCATATTTACACACTGCATTGACCGAATTTCATAAAAGTAAAAGGATAACCAATCACAAGAAAATGTTCCACACGTGCAACCAATCCAAGTGATACGATGAAGGATATTGATTTTGATCCAGCGATTGACAGGTTTGCAGCTTTGAAGTTGAAGACCAGGATTGCAAAATTTTAAATAAAGTTAATTTAATGTAAAAATAACTGTCACAGGTCATAAATACGGTACATTTACCCCCTGGCCTTCAACTTATTTATATTCTTGTCATCGTTATTCTGTGGCCTTATTTTAACAAGATCAAGAAGAAAAAAAACATATCGTGGAAGTTATGGGGGCGACACCATGAGTTTACCGCACCGGGTGACACCAACCCTAGCTGCCAGTACGCCACTGCCGGTACCGTATCATTGCACGGTGTCAGTGACAGTTACGAATTAAGTAAATAGACTTAGAAAATAGAAACACAAGTTAAAAACAGAAGAGTTGAAAAGTTTCAGTTGATAATCTATCCAGTCCATTGACGTACCGTGACTTAGCTGCAGGTAAGTTGCACGTGCAGGATGACCGAAACTCATGCCGCCTCGTCCGTCACAGTTATAAAATAGGAACCAGTCTATTCCTAATAAACGTACGCTTGTAGATAAAGATAACTTACGACTTTTAACCCCCCCCCACCCCCCGGCGTTAGAGACCGGGTCGCCCGATCATTCATTGGTCCAATTAGCTGACATTGTACTTTTTATTCTATACATCCTAGCTATAATAGCTATCACCAAAAGACGACATTTAAAACTCTCCCTTTTTTTATGATTACCGCCTGATGAAAAGTTTAAGTTTTGTCTGTCCCCCTCCCCCCCCCCCCCCCCCTTTTCTTTTCTTCACTGATATTTGGATCCCTTATCGCGTTCTCCTAAAAGTCGTGGGGGGCCTTATAAGGCACGGGGGTCCCTAGGCACGTGCCTCGTCATATGCCTTAAGCTAAAACAGGCACTTTAAATGCCGTTAAACCATGATCCGCTTAGACTTAGAGTAGAGCATCGCAAACTTAAGCTACGCGACTAAACTCAATACAGTTATAGAAAAATTCATTACGCTTTGGCGGCACCTTGCTCTTATGGCAACCGGTTCTTAGGGCGCTCGGTTCTTCTGCAATCCTTTCTGTCGGCATCCTGCTCATGTATTTAACTTAGATATTACCGGTATATAGAACCGACTAGAGCGAGTTTTGTCAAATTTGAAAATTTCCATATTGTGTCAGGGATGCAAACCTTCCGTAAATTGACAGTCCGTAAAAATATGACCTACCAGTACTACAATGACTTGGCCGTCAATGTCCGTAAATACTTTAGGATGTTCGTATAAGTATAAATGAGACATGGTTCAAACATTTTTTGAAGCTTGCTTAAACTTTTATAATTTATAAGCATAATGAAAAGAAAGCTAGTAAGAATTTTGTACTACGTTTTACAATAAGTTAGCGCTTAAAAATAGATTCATGGTCACAGAGGCGTAGCGAGAGTGTTTGGCGCCCGGGGACAAGATTCGCGCCCGGGGACAAGATCCATTTTTAAGCGCCCCCTTTTCTTTTTTTTAACTCTCTAACCCATTATTTTTACCAATAATATAATATCAAAGAACATTTTGGAGCCCCAAACTAGCTTGCTTGTCTGTTGAAAGCGTGGAGATTGAGAATATCTATCAGAAAATTTCATTTTATTGACCCGGAACCACTGAGTGTCACCCCCACCCTACCACGTGAGGGTGTCAACTGATATGGTCTGTATATCCCTAGTGACGCCACTGCCTCTCCCCATATTTTCTTGACATGTTTATTAATTTATGGACACGGTTTTATCTTAAGACATGGGCACACCGAGCAGTTACAAGCTTCACGCAAAATCTCACGTTACGGTACTAGAGATATCAAGTTGTCCATTTTGCTATTTGTTAAAGATCGTTGAAAGATCAATAGACAATTTACCGGTACTTTGGTTACTAAGTTTTTTTTTTTGAACAAGTTTTTCTATTTTCAAATTTATTCCAATCCATTTATTTTTATTAAAATTTTTTTTTTTTTTTTTTTTTTTTTTTTTTTTTTTTTTTTTTTTTTTTTTTTTTTTTTTTTAAAAATTTTTTTTTTTTTAAATTTTAGATTTTTTTTAAAATAAAGAGTTTTACAATTTAGGTCATGTTTTCATTAATTAGTAATTTATCTGAAGGAATTTATAGTTTATAGTAATTTGAAATTAAAATAAATATTTCCATTTAATGATTTTTTTTGGCATTTCTTTAAAAATATATATATATTGTTTTAAATTGACATGCAAAATCTATAGACTTTTTCTACAAAACAGATTTTCTTAGTTTTTGGGGAAGGTAGGCCTAATCTGTATAATTCTGAAATATTTACCGTACTTTTAAATTTTAATACCCGGTAAATGCAAAAAGGTAATTATAATTATGAATCTTTTTCTTTCAGCGACCTGTACTTTAACAGTAAAGAACTAGACTAATAGAATGTCAAGTTTTTTTTTAATACATGCAGTTTTAGTTATATACAACATTTACTTACGGTAGCAGGACTACTGTTAGCTAATTGTCAGTTACAACTTGTAAATAGCAGTGGAAAATGAAGCAACAAGTTTAAAAAAGACCAAACTCTCAACTAATTTAAACAATTAAAAAAAAAATATCATCAATAGAAAATAACATAGGAGTCGCCCATTAATTATGTCAACAAAATAGGGGGTAGGGGGTTTGGAAATGTTTGACAATTGTTGACAAAGGGCCGTCCATAAAGTGCGTCACGCTATTTTTCATCATTTATAACCCCCCCCCCCATCACAAACTGTCACAAATCTCGCCCCCCCCCCCTAAAGTACGTCACACTTTCGAACAAAATCTTTTGAAATTAACACCTAATTAAAATTTTATCTAAAACACACTTCACTATTAAACTGTATTAAGATATAAAATTTCCAATTAAAAGAACTATCACATTATTAAAATTATTTTAATAGTGGAATAGTTAATTGTCAACAGTTGCTGCAGTGAACACATTCATGAGATACGCATTTCATGCTATTTTAACATAAAACTAATTCAAATGTTTCACAAAATTTTAAAAAAATATTTTTAAAGTTATTAAATACTACTAAAAAAATAAAAAAATAAAATAGAAATTAGAAGTAAAATTAAAAAAAAAAAAGTGTGACATCACACATGACTTGACCCCCCCCCCCCCCGTCACAAACTGTCGCACTTTCTTATACCCCCCCCCCCCGCCCGGAGCGTGACGTACTTTATGGACGGCCCCCAAAGGAGGAGGGGGATTTAGATTAGTTGACGCCAATAATCATGTTTTCTCTATTAAAATTTTAATCTTAAAAATTAACTTGTTATTACATTATTTTAACAAATTTAATAAGTGTAAATGAAAATAGTTTTATAATTTTTTAGGCTTTTAACAATATAATACAGGTATTTATTTAATGTGTGTCTGTCTGTGCTCTGCTGATGACTGGTCAGAATGTTAACACATTTAGTTAAAATGCAAAAGAAGTCAAAAGTTGGCCTCTCTTCTTGTGGCAATTATTGCTCACACTGACAATGCTTTTATTTTAAGTGCCGAATTGTTAGATGAGGATGATGTTGACATGTCTGGTATGTGAGTTCCGCATGTTGAAAAGGATAAATCCGCTACTATTGCTATGCCCATTGTTACGATAGAGCAACACCTGGCTACAGGCTACTCCCTCTGGAAGAAGATAGCAGCTAAAAACTATGCTAAAGTTTTCAGCTATGCTGAAAATAATCATATTTCTACTTCCACAAACAATGATATTTAGTCTTTAACAACCTTTTCATTGATTCTGCATTATAAAATATAGGTGTAAAAACTTTTCAACTTGTTGATTAACAAGCTATAGATGCAATATAATGTTTTTCCTACAATTTTGTGTTATTAAAATAGATCACCACAAAGTAAAATATATTTATATATTTATTTATATTATAGTTCATTAATTTTCTTATTTAATTATATTTTGCGTGTGTGGGGGGGGGGGGGTATAAAAATATTGGGGTATTTACTGGGGGGGGGGGCATTGAAAGTTTGACAGTTGTTGACAAGGAGGGGAGGGGGTCAAAAATTGTTTGACATTGTTGACGTAATTAATGGACGGCCCCTTAAAGCAAAATATGTTTAATGTAATTAATTCAGTGTAAAGTGGTCGGGTTTTAAGTTTAAGGATTAACAGCATACGTATTTATAGAAGTAGAAGTGTCGGTCGGACCAAAAGCCAGATTGGCAATTTCCACAGTTGAAAAGGGGAAATCATTGTTACAAAATAAATTATTAAAGATTTTGAAAGCAGTTGTTACAATTTTAAAAATTTAAAAAACTTAAACACAAATATACATTTAAATGTATAGAATAAACATTATTAAATAGCTAAATAATCCCTTAACAAAGCGTTTTAAAACTGGCCATGTACTTGATTGTTTTCTTTTTCGCTACATCTACTTCCGGGGTGACGTCATTAAATGGCGTTGATGGCTTCGAAGTAGAGAAGGAAGTGCTTCGAATAGTTTAACTTGTAGGTAGTTTAAAACCATTCCGATCAGCTCTTTCATATCGGCAGCTAGAGCAATTTAAAGTGTTAATGGATGGGTACATGTTTCGGGTGAAATAGTTGTCTTCACGTTACTAAAATCCTTGCACCGGGTATCTTAAGTTATCATAAAAATCATGAACGGATTATCGTTCAGTGAGCTTTGTTGCCTTTTCTGCTGTCCTCCTTGTCCATCGCGTATAGCAGCAAAATTAGCATTTTTACCACCTGAAAAAACATATGACCTTATATCCGACGAAGCTGGGACACGCTACAGTTTACATCTTACAGAAAGGGCAGAATGGCAGTACAGTCAAAGAGAGCTGGACAATATTGAAGTTTTCTACACAAGAACAAGCAAAAACAACAGAATTGTGTGCATGTTTGCTAGATGCACTCCAAATGCTAAGTTTACTATTCTGTTTAGTCATGGAAATGCAGTTGATTTGGGACAAATGAGTAGCTTTTACATTGGTCTAGGTTCAAGGATAAACTGTAACATATTCAGCTTTGATTACTCAGGGTATGGTGCTAGTGGAGGCAAGCCTTCTGAGAAAAATATCTATGCAGACATCGATGCAGCTTGGCAGGCTTTGAGAACAAGGTATGGAATAAGTCCACAGAACATTATCCTGTATGGTCAAAGTATAGGCACTGTGCCTACCATAGACCTTGCATCTCGGTATGAAGTAGGAGCTGTCATTCTTCATTCCCCACTGATGTCAGGAATGAGAGTTGCCTTTCCTGAAACAAAAAGGACCTGGTTCTTTGATGCTTTTCCAAGGTTAGTTGTTAAAATATTTGATACAAATATATGTTTTAAAAAAGTCTTGTTGCTATTTTTCATCCAAAACATAAACAATAATTCAGTACTGAGTAGTGTTGGCAAAATCATAAATAGGAATAATGCTTTAAGCTGGCTTACTACTTTAACTTGTTCAGCATTATAGTTGCATTTATGTGTTTCTGAATGTACCATAGGATCAAAGTAAGCACTTCGGTAAAGCAAGGAAGACTACTTCAAAATTTTCGGGGGAAATGGTAGTCGTCGCCGAAGAATCAGAGTTATGTAATTTTTGGATATCAGTGTTAGTGTTTTTTCCAGACCTGTTTACCCCCAAACTCTTAAAATTGTACAGTATTATCACAAAATCCTTTAATAAATTATAATAGTAAAAAAATAAACATAAAGAATATAAAATGTACACACCTCAAAATCGTACAATCCTAAGAGTAAACAGGTCTGTTTTTCATTATTAAATGAAAAGGACCATTTTATCATAAAATTGTGGTATCGTTCCACATGTTCACAATAGGGGACACCTTAACCTACATTACAATGCACTGTTTTGCCTTTTTTGATCGACCTCAATTTTGGACATTACTAGGTATATAAGGCATCTTTCCCTTAAAATATTTTTGATGAAATTCAAAATAAAGGTCTTTCATATTAAATTATAAGCATTATATATTGATGTATATGTGTGCCGATTGTCATTAATGTAGGTCGTGTCTCACATTCGTTATACTTATTCCAGTGACCTGCATTATCATAAGGTCGCTTAGCCCAATTTCAACCATGGTGTAATTCACACTCCCTTTTTAATGGTAAAAGATGCAGATACTTAGGAAATATTCAATTATTACCATTATTTTCATCAAAATATTTGATAACTTGTGTTTAAGAATGAACTTGCATTTAACTTTAACAAGAATATTTTAATTTGAGATTTAAAAACCGAGTCCATATTATAAATGATCATAATTTGCCGGGAGCAAAACATTGTCATGGGCAACCATTTACAGCCACAATGGTATAGCCATTATGCAAGTGTTATCTCAGAGTTTCAATCATAAGAGTTTGGCGTGTGCAAAATTAATTAAACCATTGGTCAGGGAAAGCTTTTATTAATTATACATGTGCCAAAGTTGAAAGTTCAAAATAAGTAGTCCCTAAACAGTGTTTTAGTAATAAGGGGATGCATTGCCTTATACAGACTGTTTAGTATATACTGGTATAATGGACGCCATAGACTTGGTAAACAAAAAAGCCATATATTAATATATAATATTAAAATTACTGATATACATAGTTAGATAAGTTAAAATTTATTTATAAGTGAATAACATTATTAAAGTTACTTTTTAATACAACATTAACTCTGAAAATAAAATTCGTATAAACTTATCATTAAACAAGTTACAGCTCATGACACAAACAGCGGAATTGGGTCACAGAAGGGGGAGGCGCAGTCCATGTTAAAAAAAGGACAAACAAAGTCGTACTTCTAAAAATTCATAGCTCAGAAACAAATAAAGATAGAAAGTTGGTTTCATTTTTTAAATTTAAAGTTTGCTCTATTATAATGTACTATAATGTACAACTTTGATAATTAATTTTTTGTATTGTATGTACCAAAGTACCTTAAAAAAGTTAATATGGATTGCTCTTAGGGTTGCTTTGCACCAATAAGCTAATTGGCTGATTACCAATCAGTCCTGTTGCAGATTCAAATTGATTGGCACAAGATTTGGCTTATTTATCTAATTATAAAGATTCTTTGAAAATGAGTACAGGTACCAGCATTGTAAATAAATCATATGTAATTTCTAAATTCACAAATCATCACAATAATTGTGATTATTATATATTAATTTGGGGAAGTTTAAATGTTTATTATTATCATGTGGAGAAATAATAGTAAGTGTCCTTCTGATTTCCAAACATTTAACGCTTGGGTGGAATAGAGAAATTTAGCGATATATTGCCAAAATAAAAACTGACTTTAGTGGGTAAATTTGTGTTTAATTTTCTTGGGTAAATTTGTGTTTAATTTTCTTGTGAAGCTACCAGAAACTTAAGAAATCTCAGGAAAAAATAGCATTGAGCAGTGAAGAAATGAAATACCAATGACAAGGGACTTTTAAATATCTGTTTTGCTACAAATTTGATTTCAAAATAAAATTGTCCTTGATTATACTTAAACTGTCCAGGTTTACAATGAACAATTGATAGTATTTTTGGATATCTGTAATAGATGATAAACCAGTTTAAGGCTAAAAAAAAGGTTCATATCAATTATTTGGCATACAACATGTTAAATTGACACCCGTTTGCTCATGTGTCATTTAAAAAAGGCACAATATTAATGTGTCCACTCTGCATGGTTTCAGTTTAATCAACTCGCTTTGTGGTTAAAAAAAATCTTTGTTTGATTTAGTGTGCCAGTATCTATATAAATATTCTTTTCTCTGGACCAATGTGGTCTGATGTAACAGACTTGTGACTGTTAGAAATGTTTTTTTAAACAAACATTTTACTGTTTATTAGTTTCAGAAAATATATATTCACTAGTTGCCTGATCTTTGCTTTCTTTGATGGGATGAATGTCTTCAGAATACGGGATAGTAAACCAGGACTAATGGTCATGATGATCTCTTAGTACAATTTATGCATGGAAGTAATAGCTGGTTTAAAAAGTAATTTAGTACAAATTGCACAGAAGAATCATGGTTATTAAATAACTTCTATTATGCAGTGTCTTTCTTAAAGATCTATAGTGAATTTCCTTTCCATCTGAAATCAAAAGGACTTAATAAATTAAAAAACGAAAGCAATTTTGATTAACAAATTGATTTTTGTTTAACTCTTGAACTAATTTTGTTTAGTTTGTCACTAGGATTATAATCCCAGTAAAGTTTTTAGTTTCAATACCTATAATGTTATTTGCTTTGAGATAAGACAAATTTCTAATTTTTTAAAACTTTACCCTCTTTTAAGCATTGACAAAGTACCAAAAATCACATCTCCTGTTCTGGTGATTCATGGAACAGAGGATGAAGTGATTGACTTCTCCCACGGTCTGACAATATATGAACGTTGCCCTCGAACAGTAGAACCGCTGTGGGTTGAAGGTGCCGGCCACAATGATGTGGAACTTTACGGACAGTATCTTGAGAGACTCAAACAGTTCATTAATGTGGAGCTGGCTGTCAATTGACTAGCAGCCACAGAGGAAATTGTTCAAGATGGAACTGACGTGGTGCCTGACAATACAGATCCAGCTCTACCAGCTGCAAATGAAGATCTAGATGTGACTGTTAATGACGAAGAGGACAGTTCTTCACACCAAGATACACAGGCCACCTTGTCCTTACAACTGCCCCTCCAAGAGGAGAGAGTTGTATGACCCATAGCTAAATGTATTAGCATCCAACTCCATTCGACTTCAGTAATCATCATGTTCAAACAAATATCATTTTTTGTTTTCTAAGAGCTAGTTTTGTTTTTAAGATTCCAGTATAAATATTCTGATTTGCCTAACAACACACCTGCCAATTAAAAGAAATAAATTTTAAAAAGTTAACAAAATGTTATCTGTTCCTTGCAGTTTTGTTCTTTGAGTAAGCAGTGTTTTTTTACAATGAAATTTGAGTTTCTTTCATTGTTATACCGCAAGTGATTTTAAACATATTATTGTTGTTGTTCTAGACCAACATTTGAGAAAGAAATTATTTTATTCACCTGAACATGATATTAATGTAGTTGAATTGGCCTTGAATTTTTTCCTCTGTGAGTACAAGATGTTAACAAAAATGTTTTCAGTTTATTCTACTTAACTTATCAAATTTTTTGATAATTTATTTGTTAAATGGTTGATGCAGAGAAGAATGCTACGTTCATGCCAAAGTATGAATGTGATTTTTTTAATTGATGAATTATTTGTTTGAAAGCAGCGATGAAAGGGAAAGGGTGGGAAATTCATTTTTTGAAAACTAGAATTCTTGTTAATTTTGGTAATTACAAGTAAGAGGAATATTAGTCTCTGCATTTATCTAATGTTTATAAATCTGCATGAACTATTATTTATCTAGTTCAGTTAAGTTGTGTGGTGACAGGGTTTTAATTCAAATTTCTCAAAGGCTAAAAAAAATGACAACATCTCTATAAATGCTGAGGTCATACTTAAATGTTATACTTGCTACAGAAGAACTAAAAGATATTTATTTTATGTAAAACCCACCCCAAAAGGTTCCAAAAAAGTTTTTTTTTCTTTTTTTTCTTTTTAGATGGCTGCAACAAAAATAATTTATGTCATGTTTGAATTTTTTTCCAAACTATTTATTATTAGTAGGCATAATTATAAATATAATGAAAAACTTCCTGACAACTTCTTAAGGCATCCATTTAAGAAAGGGAATTTGTGATGGTTCAGTGACGTAATTGGTAAAAATTATTTCATTTTTTAGTTTCATCATCGTCACATTGCTGTCCTCCAAGTCATAATCATTTATTCTTTTAATTGGGGAACTTTATTAACAAATGTGAGTTTTTCCTTTAAAAAAAAGGTATTTTACAGGATTATAGTTTTTTTTCTAATTAATTAATATTATAATGCATCAGTCACAATGCTTTATTTTGAAGTCCGTCTTTAATAGTTTGTTAAATAAAGTTGTTCCTTTATATATCACACCATTACTTTTATACTGTAAATCATGTATGTGTAATGTGTGAGCTTCAAAATGGTGTTTGTTATAATTATACTAGAAATAACCCATGGAAAGCCACGGATGCACAGTACCACAGATGGCTCTTGCCTGCCCAGACCACTCCACTATTTTCACCCGGGAACCTTCAACGCCCTAGCTTTCTCTGCCTTTACCCCTCAACCCACCCCAGATAATGACTGTCGATCTGAATCACTTTCAGATTGTTTGGAATGCTCTGTTAATCAAAGTTTCTGTTTACATGCTATAATTCAACAAAACGTCACAAGGTCAAGAAATTTTGATTTTTCTCCCCCTTACTGTTTCTTTGGTGACATTCTGGAAAGCTAGGTTTATATTTACATTACAAAATCCATAGAAAATGTTGTTGACCTTACCAGCCTCAACACTTGTTTTACTAATACTTTCATTTTAATAAAATATGCCAATTTTATTTTTCCTAATGTTTGCACTTGTTCATATAAAGAAAATAATTTTGTGGTTCCGCTGGCCCTGTTTAGTGTCATTTACTTTTCCTGATAAACATTATCTTGTACTTAAGTTAACACAATCAACATTTTTTGTTGTTTTTCACACCATTTAAGAAAATTTAATAAATATTATATAAGTATATACCAACTGAAGAGTAAGATTTTAAGTTAATTCTCATATTTGAATTGTCTTTTATTTTTTATTTTTTTTTACCATGTCGTTGTTGCTGGAGAAGAAAAAAAAAATATATATATCTACGCTCCTCTGAGATCTACAGAAATGGTTGTGATCTAAAGAATTTCTTCAAGCATTTATTTGATTCTTCTTATCCCTAGGAAAATGAACAAAATATATTTGAATAATTAACTGATTTGTTCATTACGCTAAAAAAAAAGTTCAAATTTTAAAATGTTTTTTCTTTTTATGCTGCATTTAAAATGAAAAGTTTTCCACTTTTCATTGTTTCCTGCCACTCAGTTGGAAATTGAAAGTGTTATGTAAGTAGAATTATGTGAATAGCATTCAATGTCCTTATTTATGTTTTGGTGAACTTATTTTTTAAAATCTCATTTATATCTATAATGAAGGAGAGAGAAAATCCCACTCATGGCTTTTTTTTCTTTTTCATTCCCCCATTTGTCCCAAATGGTATTTTCTGGTGTGAAAATTTCATTTTGGTAAGTTTTGCTCAGTTAAAATATTATCCTCCTTAAGTTCAGTTTATTGAAATGTGTATATTTTGCCAAGCTACACGTCATAGCTTTATGCTCATATTTACTTTGTACATCAAAAAAATTTTATGAACTCAATTTATAGTCGCTCACATAAGTCAAAACCAGTTTGTTTGCTAATTTTGCTTAAAATGTATTAATATATTTTTTAAACTAAAGCAGGGTTACCCAGCCTTTACTATATTCTCCTATCCCTGAAATATCATCTCCCATTCCTTGGGGGGAGTGGCAGGCACCCCAGGTTGAGAAACCCTGACTTAGTACTCCGTTTTTCATACAATTTGTAATGCAAAATATTACAACTTGCTATAAGTATCATATTTAAAAGGGAGAGGCTGCGAAATAGCTGGCTATAATACGGGGTTAAAAATTTCTTATGAAAAGAAAAGTTAATGAAAAGAGAATGATCCCCTTTTAGCCCATACATTTTCATAAAATGAACATTTATATAACTTATTAATCTCTTTCGGAATTGACCACTTCAACTTCAAGGTGAATGTAGCAGTTGGACTTTTTCTAACCTGGAACCACAGGCTTCTTTAGAGTTGTCTATTTTTACCTTTAGATTAAGTTTTGTTTGTTTAGAGTACTCTTCAATGTTATGATTAGGCTCAATACAATAAATAGTTATACATTTCAAATGTGATTTTGATGATCATGGAACAAAAAAAAAATTATGGTTGTTCATATGTCCTTTTAGTAGCAAAAGGTAGTGGTCAATTTAAGTATTTTTTTGGTCTTTTAAGGAGTGTAATTTGATCTATTTCTTATAAAATATTATAAAAACATGCAAAGAAAAGCTTTTGGCTATTCATTTTTTAAGAATTAAACACATAATCAATTTCTTCAAATGTAAAAGAACACATTACTTTTGCATTTGAAAACAAAAATTGAGTGCATTTTTCTTAACAAATATCTATTTGTATGGTTATCATTCAATATAGAGGTTATAATTAATTCTTTTTAATGAATATTCTTATTAATATTTTCTGACATTAAAATTAATTTATTTTAAATTAATTTTTCTATACCTGTAACAAAAATAAATTAATTGTGATTTTTTTTTTTTTTACTTAGTTACTTATGAGGGTTGACAATACCTATAATGATGGACAATATTGCTTTTGACGTTTTCATCCATAAAATTTCAGTTTAAAAAAAGCAAAATTAGCAAAATTTAGTATTTCAAATTGCTAACAATGTAATGTGCAATAAAGCCATGACATTTTAATTACTGGTACCTCATAATTATTTTTTTTAAAAATGTAGTAATTAGTAATCAATAAAATAAATAAAAATGCTTAGAATAAAATGTACAGTTCATTTCATAAATATTCCGTGAAGTGACTGTCAACTGACTTTTGCTATGGTGCCAAGTGGATTAAATAGGATAAATTCATGTTGGAGTACTTATGCATTATTTCTCTTTTTTTTTTTTTTTTTTTTTTTAATAAAAGTATTGATCTTTTATTTTTTTAGTGTTTTGTAACAAAAATCATTTACCTAAAGAAAAATCAGTATAGATGTGATAATTTGTATATTGATCCAGCACAAAAAAAATTTTTTTTTTTTTTTTTTTTTTTTTTTTTTTTTAAATAAAAGTAATGATCATTGATGTATTTAGTGTATTGTAACAAAAATCATTTACCTAAAGGAAAATCAGTATAGATGTGATAATTTGTATATTGATCCAGCACCAAAAAATAAGTAATTGTCACATGAAATTATATTATACATTAAATCATTGTCCTGCCGTTTTTCAGGGTTTTTTTTTTTAAAGTGCTCTAACTTAAAAAGATTTAGGGGGAAAAGATGATAAATGCTTATTCCTTTGATTGAAATAAATAAGGCATATATTGTTGTAGATTAATTTATAAATCATTGTCCTGCCGTTTTTCAGTTTTTTTTAAAAAGTGCTCCAACTTTAAAAGATTTAGGGGGAAAAGATGATAAATGCTTATTCCTTTGCTTGAAATAAATAAGGTATTTATTTTTGTAGCTTAATTTAAACAGGATTACTTTACCCTTGTTTTCATAACATAGACAAGCAGCTTCTCCGAAGCTCCTGATATACATACCTTTAGTGTCAGTATGTTTTTATATCATCTGTATCGGTATATGTCGAATCTCCACAACAATAGCAATTTGATGTCATCAGGCTCTTGATATTTGTCATAGTTTAATTTATATGTGTACTGTTTAAAGGTACTTTTAAGGAATAAATATATATTTTTTTTTAAAATATAAAAATAAACACTGTCATGACAAGGAATGTGGACTTGCATAAAATCTTATGTTCATACAAATAAAAACACAAAAATTAATTTAGTAATGAGGAGTGCTTTTAACTTCCATATAAAATTCCAGTTAGAAATATTAGATACACAAGGTGATATTACATTCATATCAAGTGGGTGGAAATTGTGGCTAATTGGGGATAGTATTTATGTTTTGTCATTTTTGCTTTCTAGATGCCTAGTATTGTGAGAAGTAATGCTAAGACTAAGAGGTATACATTTATCTCGATTAAATGGAGAATCATTTATTTTTTTGTTGCCTCTGCACCTTATAAAAAGCTGGACATCCTCACAGTATTCAAGTTAATAAATTCAATTTTGGCCAAGTTATAGTTACAGGACTCATTAATGCGATTTAAAGTTTCATAATTAAATGCAAAATAGTATTATGTTGAAAATATGAATTC